AGGAAATCAACTCTGTGCAGGAAATCAAGAAGACAAAGTACATTTTAGTCATTCCTCTAAGCGGGTTCCGAAGATTATGAAAAATAGTCTTGGGAAAGCAGATGCAAAAACCCTTGGAAAACATGATGGAGACTTTCTAAGTTTGCTGGGAAGTCTGAGAGGGAGGCAAGTATAAGGCAAATTTCTTAATTAAATTGAACATGAGAAGTTCAATTCTGTCTCCAAGTAGATGGAAAAGAATTAGAAAAGGCCACATGTGGTTACAAGTAATGCAGAACCAAGACTCCCCAGGGACAAAAGCTCTGTGTTAATCTCTTTGTGGCTCTGAAGGGAGAGAGGGAAAAGATTAAGCCTCCTTGTGGAGATCATGTGATGATTTCCTGATCCCAGCTAGAGGCAGCATTTCCATGGAAACTTCTCTTTCTCTTAACCCACACACTGCTCCATCCACCCGCAACTGCAGTTCTGAGTCTCAAAAAAGTTATATGAAGGAGCCTTGACATGTTTCTGAATAATGCATCAAGCTCCAGCAAAAAGAGAAGAAAGCAGAGCAAGCTGACATTCCAGAATCACCAGGATAGTGACAGCTTTCCCTGGAATGCCTCAGCTCAGGGTACAGACACTGATGATTTCCTCAAAGCTTTCACTTTCTGTCCTTTTCCTTTAAGTGCAGGGGACTATCCAGCTTTAAGTGAGGACAGGATACAGAAGCAAGCCTCAGAGGGGCAACTTATTTGATTACTCTCAGCTTGTCACTCTTCAACTCACAGAAGGGCTCACCTTAGTTCAAAACACTTAGTAAGTAAGTCTTCAAAGCCCTTCCAAGAATTGGTCCCAGGTTTAATTTCCTATTATGAGGTGTGTGTGTGGGGGCGTGACAATCTGAATCAAATGCTCCACCTCAGCAGTTGAAACAGTTTCCACCTCCTCACAGCATCCCCTGCCTCAGGTGTTGTCTCCATTCTTATTTGTCTTTCTAACTTATGCCTGCCATTTGAGGTCTTACTCAAGGGCCACTCCTTTAGTAACACTTGCATACTGTTATCCAAAACTATGCAATCTTTCCAGTATCCTCAGTTCACAAATACATCCCTTCCAATAAAAGTTTGATGTACTTATTATCTATACTATCCATTTGAAAACTAACGTGAGTAGTTAAAATTATATTTTTAGCCATGCATTTCAATTTCCCTAGCTCACTATACACAGAGGAATAAAATTCCTAGAAAGATTAAAATGATCAAAACATATTTATTGAATAAATATATTACTTATTTATTATCTCACTAAATTGAGAATTCTTTTGCAAGAATTACATTGCAAACAAAATTTGAAATAAATTCCTAATTTCCAGGACTTATGGGTGAAACAGCTAGGTACAGCATTAAAAGAGAGATAGAAATAGAGATAGAGATAGAGATAGAGATAGAGATAGAGATGAGAGAGAGAGAGAGAGATAGAGAGAGAGAGAGAGAGAGATATCTTTGGAATATTAACTAGAAAACTGTCCACAATGAAGCAGACCACCTCGCTATCAAAATGACCTGTTCTTAAAAATAGTCAGAAAATGCATCAAGATAACCAAAGGAAAATATCAGAAAGATTTTTTTTTTCAGATACTCCATATAAATTAAATAAACTGGAATTTAATCAGATATGAGAAATAATCTCTGGGCTCTGATGAAAAACTCTCTCTGCAAAGTGAGTTCTACAAATGTAGTCTACTTATGGCTTCTGAGAAACAACCACCTTGCACCCACAATCTCTAACATTTTCTGACCTTTATTAATATGAGAAATTATATTTCTTACACTACTTCTCATTTGCTGGGCTTGCTTAGGTCAGGCGTTATTACTATTAATATTATTATGATGATGATCATAAGAATTAAACTATTAATGGTGAATAATGTTTCTCACTTTAACGTAGGCCTATCCCACTGTGGGATGCATGCCAACTCCAAAGAAAAGTTAGTCATGTGCTTTTCAGAAGAAGAAAGCTTAAGATAAAGTATTTGATGTTGGATGTGGGAGTGGTGTTATATAGGTCTTAGCCAAAACATGTGACAGTCACTGTAGGGGTATCTGGAAAGAAAAGTCTGTGTCTCTGATTAACCAGCTCAAGCCGACCTTGAGAGAGCTGGAGGAAGAATGCTTCTGGCTGTTTTGTACTGCCTGCTGTGGAGTTTCCAGACCTCCACTGGCCATTTCCCTCGAGCCTGTATCTCCCCCAAGAACCTGATGGAGAAGGAATGCTGCCCGGCGTGGAAGGGTGATGGGAGTCCCTGTGGCCAGCTTTCAGGAAGGGGTTCCTGTCAGGACATCCTTCTGTCCAATGCACCGCTTGGTCCTCAATTTCCCTTCGTGGGAGTAGATGACCGGGAGTCTTGGCCCTCCGTCTTTTATAATAGGACCTGCCAGTGCTTTGGCAACTTCATGGGATTCAACTGTGGAAACTGCAAGTTTGGCCTTTGGGGACCAAACTGCACAGAGAGGCGACTCTTGGTGAGAAGAAACATCTTTGATTTGAGTGTCCCAGAGAAGGACAAATTCTTTGCCTACCTCACTTTAGCAAAGCATACTACCAGTCCAGACTATGTCATCCCCATAGGTACCCTTGGACAAATGAATAATGGAACAATACCCATGTTTAAGGACATCAACATTTATGACCTCTTTGTCTGGATACATTATTATGTGTCAAGGGACACACTGCTCGGGGGGTCTGAAGTCTGGAGAGACATTGATTTTGCCCATGAAGCACCAGGTTTCCTGCCTTGGCATAGACTCTTCTTGTTGCTGTGGGAACAGGAAATCCAGATGCTGACAGGGGATGAGAACTTCACTATTCCGTACTGGGATTGGCGAGATGCAGACAGCTGTGATGTTTGCACAGATGAGTACATGGGAGGTCGCAACACAGCAAATCCTAACCTACTCAGCTCAGCATCCTTCTTCTCCTCTTGGCAGGTAAGATGTGCTGGACGTATAATGTCAGATCAGAAAGGAATCTTAACAATTACTACTTCAGGCAGGTCTTCATAAACTTCCTTCCTGAACTTCCCCACCCAGAGTAGGAAAAGACCCCTGTTAAGAGCTCTCATTGTACTACGCATTTTTCCTTTCTAGCACACTGTAAGATCATAATTAAAAAGGTAAGTGTGTGATTGTCTAACATCTCCTCTACCAGGTTTTGAAGAAGTTCCCATGAGCAAAGAGTACTTGACTCATCATTGTATTCCCCAGCACCTACGAGGGTGCATGGCAAAAGGCAAAGCCCATAAAGTACTTGTGAATGAATGAATTAGTGCATATTTACATGATTAAATAAATAAATGATCTAGTCCTGTATTTCTGAATAGTAAAGTTAGTATGCACGATAACATTCATATGGCATAAAAATAAAAAATACAACCCCCCCCCTCCATTCCAGACCCACTGATCAGAATCTTCAGGAGGCCCTGGGAAGGCATAATTTACTAATTGTCCAAGGTAATTATTATTATCAGGAAAGTTTGGCAAATACTGATTGGATTAAATTTAATTTTTTCTTAATATATAATGATCTTGAGGCTCAAGTAGGAAAATAATGAAAACAGCTAATATTCATTGAGCATTCAGCATGTGTG